AGATGTTAACCTGTTGCAAAGCAACAGAATTTATATATAAACTATAGAAATATTATCATAACTGTTATAATAATATAATATAATTACAACTGTATTACAGGATTATCATTTCCGTGTAACAATAATTATTTAAAAACTTTATAATATGCAATATTTTTTGTCTGTCAATCTTGGTTTCTATTTATGTTATTTGATATAAGAATTTTGATGCATTGGTAAGAAGTGATTCTCGATAGAGTGATGTACAACTGACCATGTGAAAAAACTGACTGTGGCATATAAAGACCCACCTGATTTAATGTCTGGCCCTACACTTTATTAATAGTCATAGAAAATGCAACTTGTATAGGAAATTGGTGTCACATTAAAGTAAAAGGCAAACTGGTATCAAAAGGTGTTAATATAATTCTAGATATGAAAATGTGTTGTCCAATATATGAACCTGTTATAATTTCCATATTGATTACCTTACTAAGAAGTTTATAACAAATTAATCGGGTTCTATTACAAAGTCCTTTTGATAGGTTCAAGTTTCATAAAAGCATAATAGGTATTCCTACTTTTAACTTTAATTTACCAAGAGGAAGACCACAAATATTTAGGGATCTTAAAAATTCAGGAAATATAATTGGGACTGTTCCACATTACCATCCTTTAAACCTACAGAGTCTGTACTGTAATATGTGTAAACTTCACCTGGAAGCTGATTTATAATCAGGTCAAAGATTTTTTCAACTTTGTCATTCTTTGGTATTAAAATGGCTTTGCCAACCATATAATTTATATTGCCAGAATTTTCAACTAAGTTTGGATAAATGAAATTGATAAGATACGACAATTGTCCTCTAAGTATTACTAATCTATTATCAATTTATAAATCTATATAAAGGAGTGGTTTCTTTTTCCGCATATTATAGAAACTATATGATTCGTATTAGAATGATTATTTTTTTAAATCCTCAAATATTTCTTCAACTCTGCCTCTCATTCGGTAAGTGCCTAATATATGTAAATTTAATTAATTATTAATTAATTAAATATATACTAATTTAAATCTT